AGATACTAATGAACTCAAAGTGCAGGTTGAAGCATATTGTTTTTCACCTTCTTTATTTTTCCTGCCTTTTTTTGGCAACACGGCTAATAAAGAAATATGTTTTGGATGACTTGACATGTATAATGGGTACCATATTACTTGCTTTCTCAAAGGGTGGGGGAGGGGCTAGAGGGAGAGAATTTGGAACTCAAAATAAAAAACTTCAAAAAAAAAAGTATTAGCCGATAAAAAATATTTGTTCTCTATCTCTTAATTTCACTTTACTTGATTATAATAGATCAGGACTTAGTGATTACTATTCACACTAAGAGAACTTCATGAAGTTATCTTGCCGGATACTTCTCAGTAAACTCATTACTACGAGCAAGTACAGGGCTACTGAGGTCTTAAAGGTCCAAATGCAACACAGCAGTCTATTCATCCTTTCAACTAACTCTGGACATAAGACACAGAACATAAGCTCTACAACAAAGATTTCAAAATTGGCCTTTAGCACTTTTAACCTACTTAGACCAGTTTCTCAAAATCCTATAAACAGAGCACCTAAATTAAAGAGGTCAACTTAAAAAAAAAAGCCTAACTCCTTTTCTCAATTACTAAACTCTAGGTGAAAAAAAACCCCTCAATTTACTGTAAAACATTATGAGTTAATCTGCTAATCATCTTCCTAATGCCACTGACTGATTTTCAGATGAACAGTTATTTTCATGTAGAATAAGTAACAGTTTGTGCAAAGAAAGTATAAACAAAAAGATAATGGAATTTAATTTGCTTTACTAAATATTTTCTGGATTTCACAAAATAAAAGTACTTATGTTCAAGGATAAATTCTAGTTAATCTAAATACTGATTCTGGCCAGATGCATCACTGCCATATTGGAAAACATCAACACATAATCACAGATCTATGACCTCAATGTAGCTACATTATCAAATTCAGAAAAAGTCATTTTTATACCACAAAATTATACTCACAGTTCCGACTGTGTTCTTTAGACAGCAAGTAGTTGGCTAGAGGGGGTGTGTAGGTCAAACACTGTATGGTTGAGTTCAAGAAGCAGGTGTTGCCTAGGTTATGGAGACCTGCTCCAACTCGGTAAATTCGTTCCCACTTCAAAGATAGCCGATCCATAGGAAAGAGAACTTTCTGTGGGGCTGGAACACCATCACTATAGCTTTCAAACCCATGATCACTACCTGAAAAAACAAAGGTAAGGAGAGGAAATGATTGATATACATATACAGAGTCACCAGAAAATCCTCTGAAATGATGCCTCTGAAGTGATGCATCTTATCCAGACTACCAAAAAAAAAAAAAGAAAGAAAGAAACTGACAAAAAAGCTACCTACCTTACAAGTGTAGAAGTTCTGAGAAACCTAAATTTCTATCCCTTCATCTTCCCTTTTGGCAAATACTATGTAATTATTTCTCCTTTACAGGGATAGAGAGACCTTATTCAAATCCATCATTCTCTGACCTATACTCTGCTCCCAAATATACTACTTACCCTGTCTCCTGATCTGTGCCTCATCACAACTCTTGTGTCGACTGGCAGCCTCTGTTTTGGGGTTCAACAGCACATATTTGCTCTTTAAGGATTCCAACTGATAAGAGAAGCTCTTGCTTGCAGGCTCAAATTCTATCTTCTGTAGGAGGACCTTTTTGGCAGATGAAGCCAAGAGCTTCCCCAGATCGCCATCATCTGTTGAATCCTTTCGGCCAGGTTTTAGAGCTTCCTTTAGCTTATCAACAATTGGCATGGTGCATCACTGAAAGTAAAAGAGTAGAGATAAAGTAATAAAAAAAATGCTGGATAATAAGACGGTCATTTCCCTTAAACTCTTCTCAATGATCATTATGGATCACTAAGGAACTACTTGAATAAGCTACCTAGGATCATCAATTATCATCCTCACAAAGAAATGCAAACCACAGTAACAAACTAATTAGAAGCCTCAATAAAGGTAGAGAAGAAAAATAACCCAATGAAAACAGATTTCAAAATAAACATTCTACAAATCTTGCAACATTTTCAGAAATGTAAACTAAACTGTGGGGAACAAAAGAAAATCAGTGATCCCTGGGCAGAAACTGGTCAATTTGAAACAGAATGGTACAAGTCTATTTATAAAGTTATTTGTCACTATCCCACCAAAAAAAGAGTGGGAGTAAGGAAGGAGGTTCAATGGGACTGGCAACTAGGGTATAACAACAAAATGGCAACATTTAAACAAATCTATCCAAAAATCTCCTTGTCAAATAGTAACTTATAAAATAAATTCAGATATCCATGACCAAATAAACTCTAAAGATGTTACACTAATAGTAGTATTTTTTTTCTCCTCTTTCTCTTTTCTTTACCCTGATCAAGGGAACAACTGAATTTATCAACTATCAACTACCTTTGTCACTTATGCTCTTATGCTAGACCATACTAGGTGGGATTCAAGAACTCCTTGAATTACACTTAGAAAAATTTAATGAGGGGCAGCTAGGTGGCACAGTAGATAGAGCACTGGCCTTGAAGTCAGGAGGACCTGAGTTCAAATCCGGCCTCAGACCAAACACTTGACACTTACTAGCTGTGTGACTCTGGGCATGTCACTTAACCCCAACTGCCTAAAAATAAAAAGAAAAGAAAAAAATTAATGGGGAAAATCTACACTAGGAAATTCCTTCGAACCCAGGAATCTAGCTTGGTATTATAAACATCAACTAAACACCCTCCATTTCAAGGCCGCCCGAAGGTCAAGCATATAGCAATATGGATGATCTATTTTTATATAGATTTCCTTTCCCACACTGTCTTAAACGAATGTGGAGTTTTAGCAGCTTAAAACCACACTATAACTTTTGGAACACCCTATATAGACATGATATCTGTGTGTATATGTGTGTGTAATATGTATGCATGTGTATAAAAATATATATATACACACACATATTTAAAACTTATTAAGTCTGATTTTTCTGAAATGTGCTAAAAACAAGATACCTGTTCTAGGGGAAAGTCTTCAAAAGCACTCAATAGTGCAGGTTCATATACAAAAAAATTGAAGTGATAACAAAATGTGCAGAAACCTTTGCAGGCTCACCTGGGATGTGAGGATTTAGACCAGCTGCTGCAGCAGCATCTGATCAGGTTATGGAGAAAGAGGACTACTCCAGCAAGCCAAATGTTGTCCTCTACCTTGAATTAGGAAGCTCCTCTTTCTTTTCCTTTTAAGTCAGCAAAACTGCCAGGTGAACAGAACATTATCAATCATCAGAATCCCGAGTATGAAGAAAATTATTAAACAAACTTCCATTGCCCTTCTAGCAGTAATTTCCATTTTGGACCACAAAAGTACTGATCATTCGCTATGTATATGAAAGCTAAGGGGCAATCTGGAGAGTAACTGTGGAAGAGGATGAAATGTGAGCACAATGAGGACTGAATACGAATTCTTGCCATGGTCATCTCAACCTTTGTTCAAGAAGGCTGCCTCAAATGAAAAGATAATAAAAGTAATGGCAAGGTCATTAGCTAGAATCTCATATCTTCCATCAATTTCACTTGAAAAGACTAAGAGTTAACGGATCCATTAACAAATTTGTTCTTTCAATTAATGAGTACCTGGAAAATACAAGGAATATCAAAGGATACTATCTGCTGACATTTACTGTGGTTGCTTTAAAATTTGTAAAACATTTTATATTATTTCATTTGAGCCATACAATTCAGGGAGGTGAGTCAGTTGAGTTTAGACAAAAATAAGTAAATAAATCCACATAACCCATTACCATGAGGATAAAGGACTAGATTTTTTTTCCTTTCCAAACATAGGATTTGAGAGCCTTAATTGAGATAATTATCCAACATCAATATTTATTTCACAAATTATAGCAGAAGCTTTAGGAACTAAGCAACAAATGACCACCCTCTGAAGCCAAAACAGGACTGTTTAAAAAAATCACACACTTTAATTTTACACATTAAAACTTATGAAAATGTCCCATACATTTAAGAGTTCTGTTTTAAATAAAGTTATCCTATTATCCTATACTGGGTGTCACTTTATCACTAAAGCATAAAATTTCAAAGAGAAAAACTCAGTGATCCTGAGTAACCAATGGTAAATTGCTTCACATAGTATACTCAAAATATCCACCATTTAAATACACAAACAATTCTCTTTTCAAGCCTACATATTACTCTCCAGGGTATACAGAGAAGTGCACTACATGCACAAGGCTGACACCTCTTGGTCTTTCCAACTGTCATGTGTCAAATGCTCCCACCTGCTATGTGCAGTCAAGGGGAGGATTAACAATATGGAAACAGCACAAACCCTATTCAGGGCTTGCTAAGAGATCAGAAACTCTGCTACTTTTCAAGAGAGGGCCTGTCATTGCAGGGAAGAGGGCGAATCAAGACCCCTCCTTCCTTGAAGACATTCCCATATCCACCAAAAAGCTGCTTGGATCTTAATTTTATATTGGTCTGCTACCTGACACTGCCCTAGGAAGCAACTCTGGCAAGTAGAAGAAACGTACTTCATCCTAAAAATAGCTGAATACTGCCCCTTATAAGCAATATGTACTTGGAAAGACATCAGAAACAAATGTTTTATGAGAGAAAGGTTACTTTCCCAGAGAAAATAATTTTCTTAAATCAAATGAGATATTTGTAAAAGCACCTAGCACACAGCAGGCACTTAACACTTATTCCCTCCCTTCCTCAAAAATACCTCAGTTTTTAAAAGAAAGGCATTATTTCCTCTCACATTTCCAGAGCGCCCCACAAAAGCACATTAAACTGACAACTTTATTCCCTTTAATTGGTCAAAGTCACCTCCCAGAAACAAAACAAACAAAAACCCTGGCCATTGCTCCCCAAAGTGTTGTTTCTATAGGCATGGATCTTGCTAAGCACCAAAAAATAGGTTTTTCTTTTTGCTGTCTCTCTCAGACTCCAAGGAAGGTGAGCTCTCTACCACCCTACATCCCCAGAATCGATTTTAGGACTTGTCTTGATTGGAGGACGAAGAGAATCTGGGCAAGGAGAGAAGTTTCAGACCTGGGTCCCTAGAAAACAGCACTAAAAGCAAACCTTGCAGCAAAACCCCAAGTCTAGAAAGCAGGCCTGCAGACCGAGAAAGAAGGTGAGCATTAAGAACTCAGGCATCTGACCTGCCAGAAACACAGGCTCCAGAAGGCTCACTGAGAGACAGCAATGGCACCCCACCAGGTTCTCCTACAGAAGATACAGTCTTTTACAGAACCCCAAGTCAGGAACGAAGAAGACATTCCCCTCCCCCATCACGGGAGTACGCGGGCATTCGGCCCATCCGAGCATCCTACCCGCATGCACAGGGCCTGAGGGGTCGGGGGAGGGAAGGACACGGGACTCAGACCGTCGTCACTGTCCCCTGACGTAGACTCTGCCCGAGACCCGTACGCACCCCAGCACACGCTGATTCCTGGAGCCCCGTGGGTGCGTGTGCGCCACGTACCCGAACACCTGCGAGGGCGGCCTGTTCCACCCTTCCTCCCCCACCCCCGTCAGCCCTCACCGGGACCAAGCTCAGCATCCTCGGCGCCCACCTCAGACTTGGCACCAGCGCCCGCTCCCCCGGCCTGGGGAAGAAGCGAGGGCCCAGGCCCCGTAGCCAAGACAACCCTCTCCCTCCACCGCTGCCCCCCACCCTCACAGCAGTGACTGAGGCTACACCGACCCGACCCCTGGCCCCAACCTCCGGAGGCAAGAGACAGCGGCCACGGCCCCGCACCACAGCACACCAGCGACCCATCCCGCCGCTGCGGCCCCCCAACTGTCCTCCGTCGCTGCCGCCCACTGTCGCCCTCGTTCTACCCCCAACTCCCCGCGCCCCCAACCTACCCAGGGGGCTTCAGGAGAAGGGAGTCTGTCAGTCCGTCAGGAGCGGCGCGGCGCGCTCCACTAGCTCTCGGGCCCTCACACGCACCATCCGGGGCTCCGCCGGCGCTTCAAACACGTGTCAGCGGCAGGCCTTAAAGGCGCCGTGCCCTGCAAGCGTTCCTCGGCCAACTTCGAGGGTAGGTTTTCCTTTAAGAGGCGGAGCCTCTCACGTACCGGAGGGCAGCTCGAGTCCGCACACGCTTCCGTCTTCAGTGTTTGTCACAGGAGTTTCCTCCGCCTCCTCCTCCTTCCCCTATTCTCCCCCCGCCCCTTCCTGCTACTTGCCGCAGAGCACGTGATTTCTACGCCAGTGTCCTCCCGGACTACTTCCCATCTCAGGAACTACCTTTCCAGTCTTCTTTCACCCTGCAGCCCACCACATACTCTACAGTGTGGTGACACTGGCCTCCTTGCTATTTCTCAAACGAATCACTTCATCTCCAGCCGGGGGCATTTTCACTGGCTATCCACCATGCCTAAACTATTTTCCTTCTTCGTCTTGGCTTCTCTGGCTTCCATGAAGTCTTAGCTAAAATCCTACCTTCTACTAGAAGCTTTTCCTAACTAACCTGGCTCAATGCTATAGTGCTACCCCGCTGCTAATAACCTCCATTGTATCCTGTCTGTATCTTGTTTTACATAATTGTTTCCACGTTGTCTCCTGAATTAGACTGTAAGCAAGAACTGTAGAAACTGCCTTTTTTTGTATCACCAGCATTTTAGCACAGTGCTTGGCACGTAGTAGATGTGTAACATTGACTGAATGACTTTGTGGATCTACATTCAGGCTCCACAACTAGATTATTAACTCTTTGAAAGCAAGGTCTTATTTTCAAATTGTTTAGTATCTTTTCCACCGCACTCAGCCAATATCTCAATCAACTAGTCGTGACTTAATCATGATAGTCAATCTGCAATGGGTAGAAGTTCCAGAGAGGAAGATTTTGGTTTGATGTCAGCAACTATAGCTATCCAAAAGTGGAATGGACTGCCATGGTAGCTAATGGGTTTGTCTTTCTTAATGGTCTTCAAGAAAAGAGGATTGTCTTCTTTTGATATGAGTTGGACAAGATGTCTCTAGGGTCTCTTAACTATGAAATTCTTTGATTTCATCCATCCCACTCTTCCTCTTCATAAATGTCAGTTCCCAAAGCATAGACATCTTTTCAACTTAAGACAAGGGGATAAAATGGGGGATCTTAGCAGTATATCACTTCTGAGATTAGGACTTTAGTACGCCAGAAATACACAATATACATCTGGTCAACTCCTGGGCAAGTTGTATCTATCTGAGCCTCAGTCTCCTCATCTGTAAGTGGTAATAATAGTGCCAGTATTAATCAGCACCTACTTCACAGTGTTGTTAGATAAATCAGATAATGTATCTAAAGCGTTTTGCAAAACTTAGACTGATATACAAAATGTAACTGATCAATTTATTTTGTAAGACTTGTGATTTCATCAATATTAAAAATTCCTCATGAGGAACTTCCTCTACCTCTAGTCTCAGAGACTAATGGTTACTATTATTTTTGTTATGCAGAGAAACAAATTGTATATATCACTTTTTATATTTTGCACCTGCTTATTTTGGCCAAGTCAGTGTCACTGAATCCTGCTGAAATGTTGCTGTAGCAACATCTCTGCTTCAACCAGGAGGGAAATCGGCAGAAAAATCATCAACTTGACCTTATTCCACTGTGGTTTAATTTCATAGATGCTAGGCTGCTGACTATGTCACATGGTCCATTCCAAATAAAGCATTGAAGCCATTAGAAGAATGTGCTTTCTTCTAGAGTCAGTTGGTATCAAGCTGACAGGCTGTAAGGATGCTTAGTAGATTAAGGCTCACCTAGCACCCCTGGATACAAGGTCAATGTTTCACATGGTGTGACTGGATCTTATAAGGAAAACTATAACAACAGTTTAGGGAGGAATTCACAGATGTTTTAGAAGAAAGGAATGATAGTGCATATTTCAATTCCAATTCCTGATCATTTGGTTTCTGGGCAGGGCTTAAAGGAGATAGGAGGGCAACACTGCTTCTGTCTCTGCTGAGAATAGCAGTGATGAAACCTACTATATTATGTTTCCATTCCTTAGCTTGTTCTGGCTGAACCTATATAACCCATTCCTCAATTCTTTTTTTTTAAATATGAATTTATTTATTTTTAGTTTTCAACATTTACTTCCACAAGATTTTGAGTTCCAAATTTTCACCCCATCTCGCCCCTCCCCTGACCCCAAGATGGCATGCATTCTGAATATCCCTTCCCCTAGTCTGCCCTCTCTTCCATCTCTACCCCCCTTTTCTTATCCCTTCCCCTTCTATTTTCCTGTAGGGCAGGATAGACTTCTAAATCCCATTTCCTGTATTTCTTATTTCCCAGTTACATGTGAAAACATTTTTTTAAACACATGTTTTTAAAACTTTGGGTTCCAAATTTCTCCCTTCCTCCCTCCCCACCCACCCTCATTGAAAAGGCAAGCAACTCAATATAGGTTATACATGTGCAGCTATGCAAAACACTTCCATAGTAAACATGTTGTGAAAAACTAACTCTATTTCCCTTAATCCTATTCTGTCCTCCCATTTATTCTGTTTTCTTTTGACCCTGTCACTCCTCAGAAGTATTTGCTTCTGATTACCCCTTTCCCAATCTGCCCTCTCTCTATCATCCCCTGCTCTCTTGTCCCCTTCTCCCCCTATTTTCCTGTAGGGTAAGACAGATTTCCATACCCAATTGAATGTGTATGTTATTCCCTCTGTAAGCCAAATCCTATGAGAATAAGATTCACTCATTCCCTCTCACCTTCCCCCATTTCCCCTCCACTGTAAGAGCCTTTCCTTGTCTGTTTTTTTTGAGATAATTTACCCCATTCTACCTCTCCCTTTCTTCTTCTCCTAGTATAATCCTCTCTCATCCCTTAATTTTATTCTCCAGATATGACCCCTTAATCTTCAACTCACCCTGTGCTCTATCTATCTATCTATCTATCTATCTATCTATCTATCTATCTATCTATCTATACATATAATTTTTTCTCCAACTACCCTAATACTGACAAAGGTCTCATGAGTTATAAATATCATCTTTCCATGCAGGAATGTAAACAGTTCAATCTTAATAAGTCTCTTATGATTTCTCTTTCCTGTTTACCTCTTCATGTTCCACTTGAGTCTTGTATTTGAAAGTCAAATTTTCTATTCAGCTCTGGTCTTTTCATCAAGAATGCTTGAAAGTCCTCTATTTCACTGAATAACCATTTTTTCCCCTGAAGGATTATACTCAGTTTTGCTGGGTAGGTGATTCTTGGTTGTAATCCTATCTCCTTTGCCCTCCAGAATATTATATTCCATGCCCTGGGTCCTTTAATGTAGAAGCTGCTAAATCTTGTGTTATCCTGATTGTGTTTCCACAACTTGAATTGTTTCTTTCTGGCAGCTTGTTATTTTCTCCTTGACTGGAACTCTGGAATTTGGCTACAATATTCCTAGGAGTTTTCCTTTGGGGATCTCTTTCAGGAGGAGATCAGTGGATTCTTTCAATTTCTATTTTGCCCTCTGGTTCTAAAATATCAGGGCAGTTTTCCTTGATAATTTCTTGAAAGATGATGTCTAGGCTCTTTTTTTGATCATGGCTTTCAGATAGTCCAATAATTTTTAAATTCTCTCTCCTGGATCTATTTTCCAGGTCAGTTGTTTTTCCAATGAGATATTTCACATTGTCTTCTATTTTTTCATTCTTTTGGATTTGTTTTGCAGTGTCTTGATTTCTCATAAAGTCACTAGTTTCCAATTGCTCTAATTTTTAAGAAAGTGTTTTCTTCAATAAGCTTCTGGACTTTCATTTCCATTTGGCCAATTTTTCTTTTTAGGACATTCTTCTCCTCATGGGCTTTTTGGACCTCTTTTGCCATTTGGGTTAGGCTATTTTTTAAGGTGTGTTATTTTCTTCAGTATTTTTTTGAGTCTCCTTTAACAAGCTGTTGACTTGTTTTTCATGATTTTCTTGCATCACTCTCATTTCTCTTCCCAGTTTTTCCTCTACTTCTCTTACTTGCTTCTCAAAATCCCTTTTGATCTCTTCCAAGGCCCGGGACTGATTCATATTTTTCTTGGAGGCTTTGGATGAAGGAGCTTTGACTTTGTTGTCTTCTTCTGGTTGTATATTTTTATCTTCTTTGACCAAAGTAAGAAAATATAGTCTGACTCTTTTTGCGCTGCTTGCTCATGATCCCGGCCAATTACTTTAGTTTTAAACTCTTTGTTAAGGTAAGAGTCTGCTTCCAATGTGGAGAATGTACTGTCCCACCCTTTGGGGGTTTATACAGCTGTTTTCAGAGATATTTCTAGGGACCTGTAAATTTTCAGTTCTTCCAAGGTGGTATGATAAGGGGTGAGGTGTTTACTCCTTTCCTATCCTGTGCTCTAGTCTATTAGTGACTACAAGCACTCCTTTCTGTCCTGGAACTGTGAGGAGGGTTTTCTCTTCACCACCACTACAAGCTCCACCACGCCAGCACTCCTCCTCACCCCAGGACTGCCACCCAGAACTGTGACCCAGATCCAAGCACAGGCAAAGCAAGAGATTCCTGCCTCAGCACTGGCAAAGAGATCCCTGCAATCTCTCTCTGATCAGCCACTCGATTCCCCCTCAGTCTGTGGGTCAGAAACTCAGGAGGCAGCTGCCCCCCCCCAAGGGCCTCACTCTCAGGGAACTGGATCTGAGACCCCATGCTCCTCTCTCAGCACCGCAGAAACAGACCTTTCCCACTGACCTCAGTCGTCTTTGGTGTTGATGGGTTGAGAAGTCTGCCTGAGATTCAGTCCTCTGAGGCCTGCTCCTGGTTCGCTGAGGCCTGCATGCCCACGCTGCACTGTGCTCCACTGTGAGCTCCGCGCAATATACCTTTCTGATCAACCATCCAGGTTGTCTTGGGCTGGAAATTTGTTTCACTCTGTCTTTTTTGTGGGTTCTGCTGCCTTAGAATTTGTTTAGAGCCATTTTTTATAGGTATTTGGAGGGGTTTGGGGGAGAGCTCAAGCTAGTTACTGCTTTCACTCTGCCATCTTGGCTCCACCCCCTCATCCACTCCCATTCCTCAGTTCTTGAAAAATCTTTTCCTTCTGTATTTTCTATCTGTTCTCAAAAAAGAAATGGTTTCTCTAAGATATTGTTCAGTTTGTGTATGTGTGTGTTTGTGTGTTTTCCTGAGGGGATTAGAAAAGTAGCTGAGAGAGTGATCACCTAAGGACGTAGAGAGGGAGATGTTCTAATACTGGGATTCTTCCTTAACTGGGGGCTCCAGTTGAATGAAAGAGATAGTATTGATAATTAATATTTTAAGGGGCAGCTGGGTGGTGCGGTGGACAGAGCACCAGCCCTGAAGTCAGGAGGACCTGAGTTCAAATTCTGCCTCAGACCAAACACTTGACACTTACTAGCCGTGTGACCCTGGGCAAGACCCCAATTGCCTAAAAATAAATAAATAAATAAATATGATTAATATTTTAGCTTCCCCAAAGCGGAGAAGAGATCAAATAAATTTGGTTCCACACCTAGACACAAAATAAGCCTGACAGTGAGCGTTCTGATAGTTTGATGAATACAAACGAGTGAAGGCCTCTCTAAGTCAAGTTTCTATGATGTTGCCCTACAACAGGTTAAAAGAACCAATTCGCCTCTACCCCCCAGGGAACAGGTGAGGAGGGGCGACTAAAGGAAAAGTCAGATTCTCTGAGATGTGTGTGGGGCTGTCTCAGAAAGAGTGGCTCTGCCCCCCAGGGTAAGGAAGCCAGAGATGCTAGTGCTTTTCCTCAGCCAGACATCTCCCTAACCTCTATAACATACAGACCTATCATAAAAGGCCTGTTGCAACAAAGTAAAACAAAAAAGTAACATTAATACAGTCACCTCATCAGAAAATTGGTGTAACATTTTACATCTATTTTTTTGATTAAAAGAACTCTATTTCTCTCTTTTCTACTCCCCCAATGAAAAAAAAATTTCTTAGAACAGATATGCATAGTCAAGCAAAGCAAATCCCCTCAATGGCTATACATAAAAATATGTCTCATTCTGAACCCTAAATCCATTACCACTCACTATTACTGTAACTAGTTACTGTAATACAGTTAATACTCTAGGCAACTCCTGAGGCACAGGAGGAGCTGTTAAGCTTTCTGAATTCTCAGTCTGCTTTTTGTCCCTTACTATCAACTGATGCTTTTTGCAGCTTATAATAAGTAGCTTGTTTTAAGCCTAGGGGCTTAATGACCTCCTAAGGTTCACAGCGTTTTCCTCCTCTGTGGCTTTGGGGAATTTATTTTAGATTAAAAGTTATGAGGAACAGCTAGGAGGCACAGTGGCTAGAGCACCAGCCTTGAAGTCAGGAGGACTTGAATTCAAATTCAGCCTCAGATACTTACTAGCTGTGTGACCCTGGGCAAGTCACTTAACCTTGATTGCCTCAAAAAAATAAAATAAAAGTTATGAATTCAATCACATTCCTTCTGAACCCCCAATTTAGAAAGTTCTTAATATTAGGACTTCTGTGTTAAATTTATTTATATCTACCTCTAGTTAACTCCACAGCATCTTTGTGGTTAAGGCAAAATTCAGGTTACTGGAAACATCTGGGTAACAAAACAGCAGACTATATTATTATAGGGTCTGTGGTTAGAATAGCCACTAGGAAGGGAAATAGAAAAAAAAAAAGCAGACCTTTTCTGGCAATTTCTCTCAGTTCTTGAGTAGGTGGGTATTCTGGTGGGGTAGACCAAATCTTTAACTCTGAGATGTTAGTAGGGCTGATGATTTTACTCAATATCTCTGCCACAGATCAGTCAGTCTTACCTTCTCTTTTTCTTTTTTGCTGGTTGTCCCTAGGCTGCTGGTTCTTTCCCATTCAACTTTTTTTGACCCCACTCTTTCCTACTCCACTTTCAGACCTTATGAATAGATATGGTTAGCTCCTCCCTTTTATACAAGTTTCTAAGGATATGACAAAGTTTCTCAGGCAATGGCTTTGATTGATTCAAGAAGGTATACAGGCCCTGTTCACCCTTATTTCTGATTGATTCAACAAATAAATATTATTACCTAACAAATGTAATTATTTTTATGTGAGGCAGGATAATCAATGAAACCTTATCCTTACACTGTTATGTACCTACCTCATGCTATCTCTTTCCTAACTTCTCTTCTAGTTTGCTGCTTTTAATCTTCTGTAGATTGGGAAATCAGATAATCAAGCTTTGTTGTAATTGTGTCTAAAGTAATGGTTTTCAAACTTTTTTTTTTTGCTTATGGTAAAATGGGAATCACTGCATCCTAATTGTTTATGTTGGTAAGAAAGAAAAGTTCCCAGGCAGTCCTTCACCTTTCCCATGCTTCTTTTCTTTCCTTACTTCTCTAGGAGTTGGAGCCATGACTAGAGCTGTTAATGTGATCTTTTTAACAGGGGACTGAGAAGCCTATGAGTGTGGTGAGGAGTTTCAGAGCACATCAGCAAAACTCACAGCATGCCACGATGTTGAGGAATGCATGACCCTTGCCCTTTTCCCCAAATGAATTTGAGTGCCTACTTTTTGAGGGAGGAGATGACAAGATTCAAAACAGAGTGGTTGATGGCAAAGCCCATTATCCCAAATACCACTTAAAGCCACTTTAGGAGACAGTGAGATTCAGTCGGCTGGTCAATGAAATACTGAAACTAAAACCCCTCCCCGCCAGGCTGAACAATGCAATGATGATGATGATGATGATGATGACAGATAAAGCCCCAAACTGTGAACTACAGTGCCTGATTACCTCATCTCCCCTGCCCAAGGCAGGTTCTCGTCTATAAGAATCGCTAGCCTCTCCTGGCTAATGGTCTCCCTTAAGGAGCAGTCTCCCTTGGGAGCCCCTTTTCCCTGAGGGGCTGTCTCTGTTAAGGAGCTGCCCCCCCCTTAAGCTGGGGTCTCCCTTAAGTGGCAGAGGAGTCTGGTTGGTGTATTGTGTTACCCACAATAAACTCCTTTACTTGATTTGGAGACAGCCTGAGTGAATACTTTCAAGATGACCCCAACATTTTGGGGTGCCCCTGAACCGTAACAACAGTATACCCCTGTTCACCAGTGGTATAAGAATAAAATGCACATGCCTTAATGCTAGGCCTTTGGCATCTGATTTGGCTATTCTTGAGCTCTTTTCACCTATTTTTTTATGGCCTTCGCTACATTTAAAAGAATTGTTTGCCAAATAAAAGAAATCCAGATAAATGAGGCATTATTGTGGTCTGGTCTACCATATACACATTTTTTTTGTACAGATCATTGTAATTGCTACTGACTTGTTTCTTGTTTAGCAAAACCTTGTTAACTCTACTATATATGTTCCTAGTTAGCAGTACAACACCAAGTATATTTAATGCAAGTGTTCCTTAGTGAATTGGCTCCTTTGATATAGAAAATTTTTCCTACATTTAGAGCTATCCAAAAGGGAAATGGATTACCTTGGAAAGGAGTGTATTGCTCTTCACTTGAGATATTTGAGCAAAAACTGGATTACCATTTGTCAGGTATATTTTAGAGCATTCTTTTTGGGAAGGGGTTGGACATAAAGTTTATTCTAACTGAGATTCTGTGATTGTGTTAGAGATCAACTGGTTGTGTGATAGGTACCTTGAATATAGTGGAGACAAAATTTTATTTGATAATACTGTTTATTGTCCAATGACTGAATGTTCACTTAAGAATGATACAAAGCGTCAGAGACATGCACAGACTGCTTGTCATTTTTCAACAACTTTCATGTGTTCCCAGCACAAGAAGGTTTCAGACTTCATATTCCAGCAAAAACATATTGCCCCAAAAAGATCCAAACAAAACAAAACAAAAACCCCCAAAGCTTTAAATTATGGCAGCCATTTAGATATTTCTTAATACTTATAAGCAAAGATTTGAAAATAACTATAATGTAAACTTTCTTTAAAAATATTTTGAGTTGCTTGCACAAAGAAGAGCATGGAGGAAGGGTAAAAAGAACAGTGCTTAGATTGTGTAACATATAAATTAAAGCAATGCCAAATGAAGATCCTTCATAAACAATATATACACACATATATATATGTATGTATGTATGTATATATATGTGATAACATTTATTGTAAAGCTACTGGAAGGGCTCCTTATCTCACCTGCAACTGGAATTTTTTTTTCTTTCCTATTAAGAAAGGAAAGAAGACTAACTAGCAAGGAATAAAAAATATATATATATGTATATATATATATTTATTTATATATAGCCTGTCCCCCCAAGACAACTTTCTCAAAGACCTGTTGACTTTGCAGGAATTTGAACAAGAAGGTATAAAAAGAGGGGAAAGGAAAGAAGCAAAGGCAATTAAACAGCTAAAGAAAAGGTCCAGAGGAATCTATCTTCATAGGCTAACTTGACACTCTTTCCACTCTGTGTCAAATGCTTCCATTATAGAAACCTTTTAAAAGAAAGTGCAATTCTAACACCTAACAACGGGGTTGGAGGTGGTTAGGAGGTGGAAACACAGCACAGTAATGATATAACCGATGCCCAAAACAACCATAAACACTAAAAGGAAAGGGAAATCAGAGAAAAAAGTAAATGTCACATGTCGCTTATGATTTCATCACAAAGTAAGCAAATGGGGAATGTTACATTGGCTTGACTAGAGTGAAATCACTTCCATTGGTCCAATGTGACATCTTGAAAATCTTCTACTGACAAAGAGCATGAAAATATCCCCAAAGCAGATCTGCAGGGGATTATTTCTGGATGTTCTCTTAATAATTTGCCCTAGAAAGGTAAATTATCAAGGCCTATGCTGACTGGATCCCAGGCAAAAGAGGCTCCATGACACTTGGGGGTCACTAATTGTTTTGGAGTTACTGCAGAATAGGCTCAAATGATGGACAGTTTGGTGAAGTAGTTTCACAGAAGAAAGATCACTCATAGGCTGCCAGATTTTAATTTAATTACAATTTCTGTGTGTGTGTGTGTGTGTGTGTGTGTGTGTGTGTGTGTGTGTCTGTCTGTCTGTCTGTCTGTCTGTCTGTCTTCTGGAAGTAGGTCACTTTTACAACAGAGGCAAAAAGGAGATGACTAACTCCCTTTTACTATCAGTAAAGATATTTGCCTATCTTTATTTTAATTACTAGGGACAATGAACGATCTTTAGTATTCTGCTCTGGGGTCATCTGATTTTCTTCACTATGTTGTGTTTCTGACATGGAAAATATAAGCAGATGGTGGTTTACCTGGCATTTGGACTGATGAATTAAATCTTGAGATGAGATGCCTCTAAAGCAGGTCATGATGTCCTAGAGAAACCCAGGCAGAAATAAGAGCTTCATTTAACCTTCTTACCTCCAAAATCCCTTTCCTCCCTACATAAGAAACCATAGTACTATGTTGCTAGCCAAATAGCATTTGCAGAAACCTGAGAGCAAAATGGCAACTGTCAATCTCTTTGGGAGTCTAGAGGAACTTTAACACTAATGCTACATATCCATGTCATCTGCACTACTGCAGATGCCTTTTTCAAAGGCATGCCATGCAACTCTCAGGATTCAAAGCTAAGTATATAGACCAGAGCATCCTTCATTTCGCTTCCCTCATAAGTCTTTGATGTTCAGAGTAGAATCCAACAGATTCCCACTGTGGGAGACAGACTAAAGCTGAAAACTGTGTTCAGCTGGAAATTTTGTTGCCTCTGCATATTTCCAGGGTCCCTGGGGCTCCATTCTGTTGAGTGCTAAGTTTTAGGTGCCTTCAAAACCAAGAAGTCTGGGTGCTGGTTGTACAAATGGCATTTCATGGACACTCACTGAGACATGAGATTCTGAGAACCTGTGAAAGGCACAGACACAGGGAAATGGTGGTGGGGAGGAAGAAAAGGAAGGGCTTTTGGGAAAGGTAGGGACTGACAAAGTGAGAACAGGGGGGAAGGAAGCTTTATGAAATGAGGGACATGCTACTCAAGATGAGAGATACCTGGTAGGCCTGCTACACAGAATCTTGCAATGAACCTCATTGGTTTTTTGCTAAATGCAACATTCCAAAATAGGGGTGCTGGTGGGGTAGAGATTTCCAGGGAATTTCCTGGTGGTTATCATTCTGAGGAATGAGAACTGAAAAATACAGCACTTAGCCTGAGTCTAGATAGGATGGGAACTCTGTGCCCTCCTTCTCCCTTTCCCTAGAGATGTAGCATCATGTTTGAAAAAAAAAAAAAAGGAAAATAAAAATCACACCTAATTTTGACACAATTGGATGATTATATTTTCATGCTGTTTCTTGGAAGTAATGTCAGAGTTGGACCTGTCTAAACTCTTGGAGGCTTTTCTATTGGCTGTTAGGGTTCTGCCAGTCCAGTTATGGGTCCTCAATATCAAGAAACTCCTGCTTGGGTGGTGCTGCCCCACGGTACCACGCACAGGAGCCATCACTCCTCTTGATACAGGCAAAATACTTTGCCTGATGCCCATAAATGATCTTCTCTGTGACCCAGTCCATCCACAGGCACTCATCTGGTGAAGATACATAACATGGGATCATGGGGCATCGAGAAATCTAGGGAGAAAATAAAAACAGGGTCACAAGACAGACTTAGGGGCAAAGACCAAATTAAGTGAAGAAGATTCTAGGATTTAAAGCTGTAAAAGACTATCTAGCCAAGATCTTTCATTCTATAGATAAAGAAAAAGTAGCTCAGAGAAATTTAAGTGATGCCCAAGGCCACACAAAGAGTAGAGGTCCCAAAATTGGGATTTTGAACTTATCTATTAGGACTAGATTTACTTGCTCTTCTTATCACACTGATTTTAGATGGACTATCTCTTTTGAATCCATTTTGCAACCCAAAAGGAGGCAGTCTGGTCCAGGAGAGAAAGCCACTATGCCATAGGCTTGCAGTATGACAAATACTTTGGCTTTCTAAGCTTCTACTAGTGTGCTTGGAGCACATAAATACAGCCTGTCTCCCTTTCCAAATTCTCTGTTCCAGGTTGATCATAATGGAAGAATGAAAAAGGGGGAAAATATATTGAGTTTTGTGGAGATTAGCATTATACAAATGAAAAAGATTATTATTATGATCCAATTGTGAGCCTGTGGTGCTGGAAATCAGATGATGATCATCCTATTTATAGAGCAACTTGAGGCTATGCAAGGTAGTGAATACTTTCACCACGTCAAAAATCCAATAAATCATAAAAGACTGAATTTTAATTGTATGCTAGGTGATAGATAACATTCTAAACTGCTGTTAAGAGTTGAAGGTGGGGCAGCTAGGTGGCACAGTGGATAGAGCACCGGCCCTGAAGTCAGGAGGACCTGAGTTCAAATTCAGCCTCAGACCAAGCACTAGACACTTACTAGCTGTGTGACCCTGGGCAAGTCACTTAACCCCAATTGCCTAAAAAAAAAAGTTGAAGGTTTAAATGTGGGACATTGGCACTCTGCCATTTTGAATTTCAAAAGGCTAAGGTGGGGGAGGGGGTACATGAGGAAATAGGAAAAGATTTTATGATCTTTTGAGCAAGGGAAAAAAAAATGGCTTGGGAAGCTACAGCTCATAAATTTAGTCCTAGCTCCCCCTGCACGTGACTTACTGTCTGCCTAAAATAGTTACCATTACTTTTTATCATTCATTTTTGCCCCCAGTGGCATAATGCCATTCTGAGAAAGGAAACCACAAGTCCAAGGCTGGGAGAGGCTCTAGGATCCAAAGGATTTCTTCTAGGGACCCTCCATACCTGCTAAATAACTAAGCAACTAATACATTTACTGGAGGGTACTGCAAAAGTCCAGTCTGGTGTTTAAGTGGAAAAACTTTGGATTTAGAGACCAAAGACTGAGTTTGGATGTCAGGGTTTTTTTGTTTGTTTCTTTTTTTAAGTCAGGACCACACCAAATGATTAGCTATCAAAGTGAAAACATCTCTCAGCCGATTTTGAAAAAGTCTCTTCCTCATGACAATATTTCGAACATCCTAGATCTACACATGCCCACAAGTGCAAAGGGCTTGAATGTTGGCAAGGGTCTGATACAGGTGGCTCTGTTAGAAAAGGTACATACACGTGCTTATCTTTTTGAGCTAAAGTGCAAAAACATCCACAAGATTCACATTCTTCCTACTGAATTCCCTTCCAGGTCTCTTATCAGCTGCAGATCACATGGCCAGATCTATCTACATTTGCTTATCCAAATTTACCGCATTTCCCTTAAAAATGACCTGGCAAAGGTGAGCCTTGGAATCCTGTAGCCATATTGTATTCCTTATGGCCATCATTTGTCACTGCTCCACCATTTCTACCCCATGAAGTCCACTTCTTTCATAAAGCCTGGCGTTAGAAGCAGATTTGCTGGATTTAGATGAATGATGCCATATAGCACAGGTGTGCACAGCACATCTCAAAAAGGCATACACCCACAGCATTTTATTTTATTTTTTAAAAGGTGAACGTTTACTGAGTAATCATAAAGTACATTATTTTTATTCATCAAATTGAAAAATAAAAGCTTAAACCTCCTTTCAAAAAATTAACAACTAAATTTAAAATACATAAATGTTGCAATTTGCTGTTTGTTTTTTTTTAAATAAAATTTTTATTTCTGGAGACTGGTTCTCCCTATCTCATCTAGGTAAGAAATATAGTGGCCATTCATGGGCCTGATCCCACCTATGATTGGCACAGAAACTTTGATTTACTTTGCTTATCTAACCTAGGTTGAATTAGCCTTCTTACCTCCTGGATTAGCCAGGTTTCTCCCCTCCTCCTCCTCCTCCTAGGGGCCTCACCATATTAGTACCCAACATTAGAGCAGACACCTAACTGGCTTAGCCCACTGAAGTGCAGAACTCCTAAGCTAGTGATCCGCCAGCCACAGTCTCCTTGGTAGCAGCAACTAGAGTTGTGCACTACTGTGACCAGTAAATTATTCCTTTTAATCAAACCCTTTCCCTTTTCCTAAAATACAGAACAACCTTGTCAGGTTTATCTTCTTGGCTAAAAATGCATCTTTCCAACTGGATCCTGCCGCATTAGCCCCACCACTGCTTTCAAGGGTGGTGATGGGACTTAAGGACTGGTTACCGGAAGTACAATCTTTAAAATTTATAATCTAAATTATAGGGTCACACATGATGGACTAAACCATGGAAAACAAGGAGGAAGGCAGAAAACTTGCCCGACTTAGAATGGAACTTGTTGTCATCAAGAAGAGGTAGCTTTAGAACAAATAAGGCAGTGACATAGAGTGTCTGGGCATAGAAGGGCCCTGAATTTCAGGGCAATAAAATCACCATTTGTGAATGCTTCCCTGCACTAGAGTCTAATGGAAGCTGTGGAGGGTAATCAAGTGGGAACTAGAGGAAGGAAGTAGGAGTAGCAGGAGTGGTTGTAGGAACCTGGAGTTACCAGAGAATGGGAAAACCAGCCACATCCTAAGAGGGCTTTCAAACCTAGGCAGCTTTACCAAAGTGAGAGGCCTGTGGCACATAAGGATGTACAGGTGCATACTTGACATAGTAAACCTGAGTTCCACAGCACCATGGTAAACTGAAGGATACCTTGGAACCTCTGCTCTGATACTAAGAACTGGCTGATCAGTAGCCCTTGAATGATAGCAGAAATTATCTGCTTACTCTGCTTACCTTGCATTCACAACCCATCTGGTATCGCTGATTTAGACTCTTCTTCTGTGTGGTACTCAGGGTATCCCAGGGCTCGATGAAGTCACAGAGAGTAACATGCATTTTGCCATTTCCTTCTGATTTTCCTGAAGAGACCCAAGAAAACAGTGAACTTGTCTTCTTTTTCTGCCCCACCTCTACCCCCCATCATTCATTGGCCTTTTGGCTTACTTAAGAGTGAGAGTTTAGTTTCACTGTTGGGTTTTCTAAAGTGAACAACACACTCTTGAGTGCAAATTTTAATTGAATCCAAAAATATTTAAAGCATCTCTACTCTGTGCAAGGCTCTAAAGTAAGCTCTAAAGTAAGACCAATCAATATTGGTCTACCTGAATTGAAATATAAAAGTGAATAAAAATGATCCCTGACCTCATGGAACTTATTACTGGATAGATAAATCTGCTATGATTTCCCTATCTAACTGGACATAGGTGAGTCCTAACAGTTTCTCACACTTTGCAGTGACTTCCTGACAGCTCCCTTCTCTCTCTGTTAAAGACATCCAATGTCTTGGACAAGCAAGAGAAAAAAACAACTGTATTCAGTGAATGACAGAATCTGACTTAAGGCAGGGTGGTCATTTTTAAAACTACTCTATTCACCCTTATTACAATGATACCCTGTCAAAATGTCAAAATGCTAAGCAGTCAGAGTCTCTGACAGGCAGACTGAATAGAGAAGCTTTTCTAGAAATGAAAGGATTCTAGCTTTCAATGTGGCATTTCCCCCTCGCATTGTTATCTAAGCATAGCTTACTTGATAGGATTTTAACAGACCGAACTTCCATTATCTTAGGAGCAAATTTCATCTAGCGAAATCACAAATTGAAATTTAGTATAGCAAACAGTAGTGTAGCTGGTGAAAAGTATGCTGACATCACAAATAGATGAACTGTGGCCAATCACCATGGCAGAGAAGCCTTGGGTGCCTGAATTAAATAAAACCCTTTATGAATGAAAATCACTGTTTGAAGCAGTGCTGTCTTGGCATTTGGACTTCTTATACTTTGGTTTCTATTTTAATTGCTTGGCTTTCCAGGAACATTTTTATTTCATCTGGTTCCCCTTAGTAGCATTGGGCCCTAACTGAAGGAGTTGCTATCAGTGTATGTGTTTTTTTTCGCATGTCTGAATATTTGGTGGAGTGATGAGAGAAGAAAAAATAAAAGAAAGAAAAAAATCTGGTGTTTTAAAACACACACACACACACACACACACACACACACACACCTACACCACAGTGGATTTGGAGTTAGGAAGACATGAATTCAAATCCCACCTCCAACATCCTTATTAGCAGTACGACCCTGGACAAATTACTTAACCTGTCTATGCTTCAGTTTCTTCCTCCATAAAATGGGGTTAGCACCCAGCAGAGTTATTGTATCAAATGAGATAACAGGTATATGGTATTTTGCAAATTTTAAAGTACCATATACATAATAGCTATTATATATTAAAGGATATAAGATGTCTTGTGCCCTCTGCCTGGATCAGTTATTTCTTAAAAAGAGGATCAAAAAAGAGCTGAAAGAAATGGAAGTGATGAATGATGTATAACCTACCTGCTTGTCTTTATTTTTACAATTCCTTTCTTTATATAGACCTTCAAATCTCAGCTCTTCCTCCTACCCAATATAAAGAGATCATTCATCAAGAATCTGTGCTTTCATTGGTTTGAGAACTCTGAAACCCTTCTGTGACCTAGAATCTTAGACAGTTCCCTGATAGAGATGATGTGACTTGCCCACAGTCACCATATTAGTAAATGTCAGAGGCAAGATTTGAACTTTGGATTTCTGGACTCCAAGCTTGGCTTCCTACCCAGTACACTGACTCAAGCGGAAAAAATATCAGGCCTAATATTTCTCTAAATTCAACAAATTCTTGATTATGTAGGACCTGGTTTTCCAATCAATGCTTCTTTCCCCAAATTCGTATAGCGCTTATACCTAGCATTCATTTTACATGCTTAAATTGTTTTTAATCTCTTTATGCATTAAAAAAAAACAACAACCCTGTCTAGAGTACAGGTTCCTGGAGATCAGGGACTGAAGTCTTAGATCCTATGATTCCCCCCATCTGCTAGCACAGAGCAGGGCTCAATGGATAACTATTGATTGGGATGATGAATATATTATCCAGGAACCTTATTTCTCATTTACTCATTCAGAAGAAAATATTAAGTGTGATAAGTGCAAGAACCTTTGGAGATAGAAAGGTGAAAAAGATGCAGTTCCTGCCCTCAAGGAGTATAAAGCTCAATAGGGAAATAAGCCAAGCATGGATATTTACCTTCTTATCTGTATAAAGAGGACAGAGTACCATAGGTCAGTAGTCTCCAACATATGGAGTCTTTGGCTCGATCTCAAGGGGTCAAGTGATTAATTAACCATTGCTATATATAGGCCTAAAGCTTAACTACCACACAACTACACTCACCATCATCCTTCACACTCCATTGTTCTTCTACTTCCCTCCACTGTACAAGCTCCCAACCTCCCCTCTTCTGAGCTGAGGATTGGTCTTCAAGGCAGAGTAACTGTGCAGGTGGCAGTGGGCAAGTTCCAATCTCCCTCATCTCTCCAGCCTATCCACCTCATTCCTTTACTTGCAAGTCATGGTATCACCTTCCTGATGTCATGGTCCCCTTCAAGAATGAAGGACAAACAGCAATCTGTGAGGAGCTGTGCCACTGGGGACCAACTGGCCAGTTCTAGTTATACAATGCAGCTAGCTTCCTTCCTTCTTTCCTTCTTTCTTTCCTTCCTTCCTTCTTTCCCTCCTCTCCCTCTGTCCACATTGGGTGCCACACCTTTACCTGTGGGTGCTCTACCCAAAGGAATATAAGTTTTGATCACTGAAACCTTGCAAGATATCTTGGGGTTTATGGGCTAGATTTATTTTTTTAAATCAATTAATTTATTTTAGTTTCCAACAATCACTTTCACAAGATTTTGAGTTCCAAATTTTCTCCCCATCTCTCCCCTCCCCTCACCCCAAGACAACATACATTCTGAATACCCCTTCCCCAATCTGCCCTCCCTTCTATCACCCCCCCCTTTCTCTTATCCCCTTCTATTTTCCTGTAGGGCAAGATAAATTTCTATACCTCATTGACTGTATATCTTATTTCCCAGTTGCATGTAAAAACAATTTTTAACATTCATTTAAAAAACTTTTTGAGTTCCAAATTCTCTCCCTTCCTCCCTCCCCACCCACCCTCATTGAGAAGGCAAGCAATTTGATATAGGTTAATACATGATTAGTCATGCAAAACACTCCCATAATAGTTATGTTTCAAAAGACTAATATACCTCCCTTCATCCTATCTATTTATTCTATTCTCTCCTTTGACCATGTCCCTTCTCAAAAGTGTTTGCTTCTGATTATTCCTTCTCCCAATCTGCCCCTCCTTCTATCATCCCCTTCCCCCCTATTTTCCTGTAGGGTAAGATAGATTTCTATACCCAATTGAGTGCATATGTTATTCCCTCCTTAAGCCAAATCTGATGAGAGTAAGATTGACTCATTCCCTCTCACCTCCTTCCTCTTTCTCTCCACTGTAAAAGTTTTTGCTTGCCTCTTTTGTGTGAGATAATTTACCCCCTTCTACCTCTCCCTTTCTCCCAGTATAATCCTCTCACCCCTTAATTTTATTTTATAGATATTACCCTTCATATTCAACTCACCCTGTACTCTCTGTCTATACATACATATATATATATATATATATATATATATATATATATATATATATATATACACATACACACATATATATTTCCTCCAATTACCCTAATACTGAGGTCTCATGCATTACAAATATCATCTTACCGTGTAGGAATATAAACAATTCAACTTTAATAAGTCCTTTATGATTTTTCTTTCCTGTTTGCCTTTTCACTTTTTCTTTTTCTTTTGGTGAGGCAATTGGGGTTAAATGACTTGCCTAGGCTTACACAGCTAGTTAAGTGTCAAGTGTCTGAGGCCAGATTTGAACTCAGGTCCTCCTGACTCCAAGGCCAGAACTCTATTCACTGTGCCACCTAGCTGCCCCTGACCTGTTTACCTTTTCATGCTTCTCCTGAGTCTTGTACTTGAAATTCAAGTTTTCTATTCAGCTCTGGTCTTTTCATCAAGAATGCTTGAAAGTCCTCTATTTCATTGGATGTCTATTTTTTCCCCTGATGGATTATACTCAGTTTTGCTGGGGAGGTGATTCTTGGTTTTATTCCTAGCTCCTTTGGCCTCCAGAACCTTGGAATATGACATTCCAAGCCCTCTGATCCCTTAATGTAGAAGCTGCTAAATCTTATATTATCCTGATTGTGTTTCCACAATACTTGAATTGTTTCTTTCTAACTGCTTGCAATATTTTCTCCTTGACCTAGGAACTCTGGAATTTGGCTATAATATTCCTAGGAGTTTTCCTTTTGGTATCTCTTTCAGAAGGTGATCAGTGGAGTCTTTTAATTTCTATTTTACCCTCTGGTTCTAGAATTTCAGGGCAGTTTTCCCTGATAATTTCTTGAAAGATGATGTCTAGGCTCTTTTTTTTTTCAATTTTATTAATTTATTGATTTATCAACAATCACTTCCATATGCTTTTGAGTTGAAAATTTTTCTCCCCTTTCCTCCCCCCCACCCTCCCCAAGATGGCACACAATCTGACATAGGCTTTACATTTACATTCCTATTAAACATATTTTCACATTAGTGAAGTTGTAAGTAAAAATTAAAACCAATAGGAGGAACCATCAGAAAGATGAAACAAAACTCAACAGAAGATAAAAATAAGTGATAGCGATTCGACTTCCATACTTCTTTCTTTGGATGTGGACAGCATTTTCCATCCCGAGGCCTCTGGAGATGTCTTAGATCCTTGTAATGCTGAGAAGGGTTCAGTTTAACAATATTAGTCATGGCATAACGTGGCTGTTATTGTGTACAAAGTCCTCTTGGTTCTGCTCACTTCACTCAGCATCAGACCGTATAGGTCTTTCCAGGTTTTTCTAAGTCAGCCTGTTCATCATTTCTTATAGCACAATAGTATCCCATTACATTCATATACCACAACTTGTTCA